GAATGGATTGGGGGGGAAACAGATGATTCGCTGTGGCGACCCCTAATGGGAACAGCCGAAAGAAGAAGAAGATACAGCGTTAATGTGAACACAGTTATTGAAATCCATATGTACAAATAATTTTTGTGCAATATCTGTTGCTGATTACTGTTTTTACAGTAAAAGGAAATCCAGTTTCAGTGTAGCTTAACATTACTTTTTTCTTTATTTTGTCATTCTCACAAATTAAATAATATAAAAAAATTGTAAAAAAATAAAAATAAAAAAAAAATAAAAAAATGACTTAGAAGAATGGGGAAAACGGCGTTGCATCACTGAGAGGCCTTTTTCACAAAAGTAATTTTGCATTGTCAAAGTAGCATAAAAAACAGCTGGTCCACACAGAATTGTATATTTGTAGATGTGGGTGTGTGGACCAGCTGTTTGGTTCCTTTGTGCTCTGGATGTGGACTTTGGTTGAACGCACCCCAGATCCTTTTCTAAATTCTGCCTTTGTTTGAGCACAGTGTTCTTTACCTGCAGGAAAGTAGGAAAAGCACAAGTGTAAATAACTAGCTTCATCAGTTTCATGGTCCTGCTATTGTGAATGTTGACCAACTGTTACACTATCAGTAGTCACTGGGAAACTTCAAAAGAAGTAGGCCATTGTTAATGTTATCAATAACACCTGTGCTTTACCTACTATGACACATTAATAGGTAAAAATGTGAAAAAAGTCTATTATGACTTCTCTGAATTTAATCAATTATTGTAAGTTTGATTTTAAGCAGACACAGGAAATGCACATTACTGTCTGCACACATCAATGAGCATGAGCAACAAGCACAGAAGAAAAATCAAACACAAAAATCTCAAATAATGTTTTGTACACCAAGACAGTGTATCAGTGAATGGTAGTTTGATTAATGCAGAAAATTCTGTGTAATGTAAAATTAAGCACAAATGTGTTTTGGAAGCTGTGGAAAGTGAAGTGCTCAGTAAAGTCATAAACAATTCAATTATGTTGAAAGGAATGAGCTTCAGGAAAGTGTCCAGTGGTTAAACAGAACAAAAGCTTAAACTTGCCTGGAAATGGAGCTTGTTAGATTATAACAGACAAGAAGTACTACTAGGCATGAAAACTGAGTGCTGAATAATA